AAAAATTGAGCTTGTTTGCAAAAATGGTCCAAGCCCCGAGTCGGCAGAAGGAGTTCAGTTTTTTTCTGCATGCACTGCGAGTGGTTACTGAGTGTCAGAAGCACAGCAGTTTGTGTTTTGTTTACTCTAATGGTGTTCATCCCTAATTATGTTTTAGATAAAAATCAGTAAATTCCAGTAGGTTTACAAACTCTTTCTTGCAAATGTTCAAATGTATTTTTCTCTTTTACCTCCAGATGCAATGTAGAATCCACTGGGTGCATACTTCGCAACAGTAACTTGATGAGCATGCTCAGTGTAAATGTCTGCAATAGCTGGGTTCTTAAAAAACACAAAAATGGAAAGATTAGCTTGATTAGCTCACAAATGGCAAATAAACGATGAACATTTTTCCAATTGGTCACTTAAACCCAAACATCTAATCAACAATTAGTGTTGGCAAAGAAAAAAAATAAAAAATACATTTTGGTAAACACTGGTAAACCACAAGCTGAAATCCTTTCCTGAGCTACTTCTAGATTAGGTGCTAACTGACACCATTATGCTAACAGTAATTGTGCCAGCATGCAACTCAGATTTCAGAGAATATCAAGGGCCCAAAAATACTGGGTGTAGGAGGGCAACAAACAAAACTAACCACTAGTAGAGTGAAATGGTGTCTTTGATGTGGCTGCTAGCTTTTGATGCTGTACATTTTATGTGGTTATTATTCTCATTCAGTAGATTCTGTCATAGCCAGTAGATTTGTAAATACAAATGAATAAATTAATCAGCATTATGTTGATACAACTTTAAGACTTTAATTACTTCAATGTTCCTGATGATGACACATTTCCCATTGGTGTAGAGGAAGTTGTTGCCTTTGGGATCACCACCGATCACTTTTGCAACTCCCCTCTCCATCTGTGGGAGACTGGCAAACACACGTTCTGAAAAAAGTGAAAATAATAAAATCAAAGATGTGGAAAACATTAATTAATGCACTGCAGACAGTGTTAAACACAAATAGAAAAAGTGTTTCACTGCATATCCTTTATCTGCTGGGAATAAAATCTGCCATTTCAGATAGCAGATTTTATTACTAACAGAAGTGTTCTGTATCAACTAGTCGTTCATTAGTCATCCGTAGGACTTAAAGTGGAGCTGGTTTCAGGTACCTTACTGATTATCACAGACAGTTTGAGCATACGACCAAGTCTATTCCTATTGGTCTACCAAGCAGTTTCACCCTCCTTATTAAATCCCCTGAATGCAAAGAGTTTTACACTTCAACCTTTAAGGAGTAACAAAAATAAAACATAACTAGATTATGTTCTTCTGTGCACTTCCTCAAAATTTGGGCCATCTTTTTTGA